TGTCTGTGCGTGTGCGTGCGTGCGTGCGTGCGTGCGTGCGTGCGTGCGTGTGTGCGTGTGTGTGTGTGTGTGTGTGAGACAGGAGTTCATGAGGGGGGGTGAGGCTCTGGAGGAGGTGCTCAGACTTCTGCAGGAGAACCATGAGAGAGAAGCTCTTCTGAAACTGGTGCAGAACATCAGCTGATCAACAGCCTGAAGAGAAATCACTGACATGAGGATATTGAGCAAATAGTGTGTCTTCATGACTGAAATGTTATGTACATATTTCCTGTCATTAAATTATATTTTATACTTTTTTGACTCGTGTCTGAGTTTGTCAGTCAATACAGATGTTCCAGTAATGAAGGTCAAATGTGTGCAGCACAAGCGTGATGTTAAAAATAAAGTAACAGTGCTGTAAACATTAAGTTCATGTTTTTTTTATTACTATTTGTTTGGAAAAGTTGCATCGCATAACACAAGGGTCTCAGCCTTAATTCATCCTTCCACAAATTTATATTTTTTATAGATTTAGATTAATCGCATCGAAAATAAATGTGTGAGTACTGTGTATATTTATTATGTATATATAAATACACATATATATTTATATATATTCAAATATAATTTATTATATATATAATATATTACAATATATAAAATAATATATTTTTTATATAATCAAAACATTTTTCTTAAATATATGCATGTTTGTGTTATCATAAATATACACAGTACTCACACATATATTATGTAAACAAAAATGATCTCACTGAGAGTGTTTCAGTTTCATGTTCTGAAGGCCATTGTTCTACAGTTCTGTTTCATTGTTTCATCCTGCAGCCACATCCACGTAAGTCCTGTTCAGTCAAATCCAGATCTGAACGATGATCTCCTCACCTTCTGCTTCAGATGATGTGTTTATTGATTCTGCAGCAGAGAGAGGAGGTCTGCCGTCTCATCGCTGGTGTCCACACCGTCGGCTCAGACTTCACACTGACGCTCATCTGAATGTGTGCCATGATCTCTGATTCATCTGATTCACGAAACAGAACCATCTTCACAAACACCAAAACATCCTCCTCGATGCTGGAAGAGACTCCAAAACCTGCAGAGAAACCCTCGGTGGACCTGAAGCTCAGGTACGAGCTCACGTGACGCATCAGTCTCTTAAAGGAATAGTGCAGCCAAACTGAAGATGTGCTGTAAATGTGCTCATACTCAGTTCATCCAAGAGTTTGTCTCTTCATCAGGTTTGGAGAAATGTAGCACTGCATCAGTGTCTCAGCAATGGATGCTCTGCAGTGAATGGGTGCCGTCAGAATGAGAGTCCAAACGACTGATAAAAACATCACAATAATCCACAGCACTCCAGTCCATCAGTTAACATCTGGAGAAGACAAAAGCTGAAACACATCCAGCATTAAGATGTTTTTATCCTTAATATCCCTTCCTCCAGTGAGTCAGTGTTCTGGTGTGAATCAGGAGAGAAATCTGCACAGATCAAGCAGCGTTTAAACAGCTCTAAACACACATGTGGCTGGATTTTGATGTGAGAGACAACAGCAGATGCACTTTTTCACTGGAAGTCATGTCTGAATGTGGATCTGATGCTCAGAGCTGAACGCTGATGTGTGTATGTGTGTGTGTGAGAGAGTGTGAGTGTGTGTGTCTGTGTGTGAGTGTGTGAGAGTGTGAGTGAGTGAGTGTGTATGTGTGTGTGTGAGAGAGAGTGAGTGTGTGTGTGTGTGCATGTGTGTGTGTGTGTGCATGTGTGTGTGTGTGTGCATGTGTGTGTGTGTGTGCATGTGTGTGTGTGTGTGCATGTGTGTGTGTGTGTGCATGTGTGTGTGTGTGTGCATGTGTGTGTGTGTGTGCATGTGTGTGTGTGTGTGCATGTGTGTGTGTGTGTGAGAGAGAGTGAGTGTGTGTGTGTGTGTGTGTGTGTGCATGTGTGTGTGTGTGCTGGGTGGAGAGAGTGTGACAGTCTCGTCTCTCATTGGCTGAGCGTCTCTCGTGCGCTGTGGCGCCGCTGACCGCTCGCGCTCTTCCTCAGTGATCTTCACCGGGCGTGTGTCGGTGTCGGTGCGCGGATGGAGGCGGCGGTGCTGAAGCCGCGGATGATGGCGGATGCTCGCGCCGAGCGGGAGGTGCAGAAGCTGCAGGAGCTCGTGAGGAGACTGGAGCGGCAGAACGAGCAGCTGCGGACTCGCGCGAGCTCCCGCTGCATCCCGAGCCTCGCGTGCCAGTATTTCCAGCCGCATCCCGCCGCGGAGGATGAGGATGAGGATGAGGATGATGGCGCCGCTGACCGCTCGCGCTCTTCCTCAGTGATCTTCACCGGGCGTGTGTCGGTGTCGGTGTCGGTGTCGGTGCGCGGATGGAGGCGGCGGTGCTGAAGCCGCGGATGATGGCGGATGCTCGCGCCGAGCGGGAGGTGCAGAAGCTGCAGGAGCTCGTGAGGAGACTGGAGCGGCAGAACGAGCAGCTGCGGACTCGCGCGAGCTCCCGCTGCATCCCGAGCCTCGCGTGCCAGTATTTCCAGCCGCATCCCGCCGCGGAGGATGAGGATGAGGATGAGGATGAGGATGAAGAGGAGCCGCGCGCGCTCCTGGACGAGCTGCTGCTGCTGGAGCTGGAGAGCGTGAGTCCGAGCGGAGAGTCTGACGAGACCTGGTGAGAGTCCTTTGTGTTATTATGAGCTCAGTCCTCATTCTGCTGTGTGCTTCAGTGCTGAAACATTTGAGTGCAACTGTTGTCTCCACACACTCACTCACTCACACTCTCACACACTCACACACACACACACACACACACACACCGCATCCCGCCGCGGAGGATGAGGATGAGGATGAGGATGAGGATGAGGATGAAGAGGAGCCGCGCGCGCTCCTGGACGAGCTGCTGCTGCTGGAGCTGGAGAGCGTGAGTCCGAGCGGAGAGTCTGACGAGACCTGGTGAGAGTCCTTTGTGTTATTATGAGCTCAGTCCTCATTCTGCTGTGTGCTTCAGTGCTGAAACATTTGAGTGCAACTGTTGTCTCCACACACTCACTCACTCACACTCTCACACACTCACACACACACACTCACACACTCACACACACACACTCTCACACACTCACACACACTCACACACTCACACACACACACTCTCACACACTCACACACACTCACACACTCACACACACACACTCTCACACACTCACACACACTCACACACTCACACACACACACTCTCACACACTCACACACACTCACACACTCACACACACACACTCTCACACACTCACACACACTCACACACTCACACACACACACTCTCACACACTCACACACACTCACACACTCACACACACACACTCTCACACACTCACACACACTCACACACTCACACACACACACTCTCACACACTCACACACACTCACACACTCACACACACACACTCTCACACACTCACACACACTCACACACTCACACACACACACTCTCACACACTCACACACACTCACACACTCACACACACACACTCTCACACACTCACACACACTCACACACTCACACACACACACTCTCACACACTCACACACACTCACACACTCACACACACACACTCTCACACACTCACACACACTCACACACTCACACACACACACTCTCACACACTCACACACACTCACACACTCACACACACACACTCTCACACACTCACACACACTCACACACTCACACACACACACACACACTCTGTCCTAGATGGTCAACAGCATGAGGAGCAGAGAAGATGACAGGTGAACCAGATTCAGAGCCCACTTCACTTATATGAGGATGTGTTTCTGGCAGGACTTCTGTCTGATTTCAGGAGTAGTTCATTATGAGCTTCCATTTGTGCCAAAAACAAGTCGACTTCTTTGTGCTGCAGACTTAAGTGTGTGTCTACAGTCACTGTGAACTTGTTGAGATCAGAATATGTTGATGTGTGTGTTCTGTTATGGGCGCTTGGTCACCATCTTTCTAAAGCTCTGAATATGATGGCAAAGCATGAAGATGAAACCCAGTGACTTTAGATTCGTTCACGTTATATAACAGAAAAATAAATGCATCTGTGAGTTTTAGAGAGAAGTCATTATTGAACTGATCTGAACATTCTGATCGTTCTCCTGGATTTTTGTGCAGTGCGTTGCAGAACAAACTTATAAAGCTTGAATCTGAACACACGACAGCACAGATGTATTGCACAAAGCAGTCTGCACTTTTTTGGCACCAACAGAACGCCATAATGAAGGGTTGCGCTCTGCTGTAGGGTTTGAGTGCTGTTCCAAGAGCCTGTGAACGTGAGCTCCAGATCCTCAACAGAAGAGCTCGTGTTTATGCTCAGGACGTTCAGTCTTTATTCTGGATTCAGAATAATTCACTGCACGGTGAAAACAGGAGCTAAACTGGGAAATTGAGTAATTAGGAAGCCGATTAATCGTCCGTCTTATTTACAATGCGTCATGGGTCAGTCATGATGAAAGCCGAATCTTGTGACTGAGGATTAGTGTCTTCTAAAAGGATTCCTCGCTGTCTGAGGAGCTGAAATCATGTTCACATCGATCTCACATGTGCAGGAAGAATCTGATTCTCGCTCCGCTCTCTCCTCAGGCTCTACGAGTCTCCCAGCTCTCGTCTGTGGTCCGGCGCCGGTCTGGACGCTCTGCAGTGGACTCGACATGTTCTGGATCAGCTGGACGCTGCACGACACTCGCTCGGCCAAAGACTGGAGTCCGGTACGTCACACCAGACCAGACCTGAGTCTGATTACTGTATGAACACACCAAAACTTCCATCAGTGCCTTCCATCCTCAGTCCCTCTTATTCATCAACCACCTTCATGTCGAGACAAACGTCCATCCGGTCGCTGAACGTTCGCAATGAGTGAATCACGTGACTTTAAAGTGAAAGAACAAGTCATCTTATAATTTACAGTAAAAATTTATTGAAAATTGACCAAAACAAATTTGAGTATTTCACTAGGTTGGTATTTATAGCCTATCTGTTAATGAAATATACAAATATACTGTACATATTTAAATTTTTTATTTAATTATTTTTACTGTAAATTTGGGTTAAATCTATAAAACCTAAAATGTGTTTTTTATGGTAAAGTTCTGGCAACCACAGCTGCTGGTCTTTTACCTTAATTTTCACAGATTGTTTGGCAGTGCATGTGAAGAGTGTTCAGTGTGAGTCTTTATCGTTCAGTGCGTTTGTGATGGACGAGGTCAGAGCGGCCGATTGAGGTCAGGAGGATTATGGGACAGATGCGCTGAGCTCCGCGTCTTAATGCGGCCCGTATATAAACACAGGAGCTCAGAATAACCAGCATTATCTTATTAACGCTGCTTCATCTAGTGTGTGAATAGTGTTAAATCAGCTAGTGCTAGTAGAGCTGGGGGCGGAGCCATCATGAATATGTAAATGAGAGAGTGTGACTGACAGCTCTGACTCTGGGATGCTTGTAATGCGTTCAGGATTTAGTCGTAAGCTTGTTACTCGGCTAAATAAACCCTGTGTCACATTCACAAAGACACCTGAGCTGGTCACAGCGTTAGCCCTTTTCTAACTAGTGCTGATGCTTGGCTCGGGCTTCGCTGCTATGTTTGGACTGTAGTCTCGGGTTAGACGAGCTGTAACCATAGCAACTGTGTTTACATGAAAGGAGTCAGCTGTTCATGCTAAGTGCTGTATAGCGTGTTATTACTGAAGCCGGGTGTTCAACAGATTCATCTCTAATGTGCATGAACATATTCAGCTGAGATATCGTGTTTGATAATGGACTGGATGAGCTTTTGCTGTCATGTGCTTATCAATATGAGGACAGACTCAAGGCTCATAGATTGTGTGTCTGTGTGTATTTGTGTGTGTATTTATGTTTGTGTGTGTGTGTGTGTGTGTGAATCCTCTCATGTGCTGAATGAATCGTTGTCTTCAGTCATCTCTTGTGTGTCTGTCTGACACTCAATGGCTGTTTGTCCCTCAAAGTTTTTTTTTTTTTACAGCATCTCAAAACTCTTCCATCACGCACACACATACACACACACAGACACACACACACAGTGGTTGGTGATGTTGTTCGTCTCTGTCTCCTTCAGTCAGTAGATGGAGGTCTACTGCTTTGAGAGATGGAGGCTTCTCCTCTCCTGCTTTTCCTCGTGCTCGTGTCGTTGGAGTTTTTCCTCTCTGCACCTCCTTTACAGCATCTCAAAACTCTTCCATCACGCACACACATACACACACACAGACACACACACACAGTGGTTGGTGATGTTGTTCGTCTCTGTCTCCTTCAGTCAGTAGATGGAGGTCTACTGCTTTGAGAGATGGAGGCTTCTCCTCTCCTGCTTTTCCTCGTGCTCGTGTCGTTGGAGTTTCTCCTCTCTGCACCTCCTCTCCCTCCTCCAAACCCTGTGCTCCCCTTCCCAGCAGCACCTCCTGTGAGAGAGCAGGTAACGCACACACACACACACACACACTCTCTCTCTCTCTCTCTCTCTCTCACACACACACACTCTCTCTCTCTCACACACACACACACTCTCTCTCTCTCTCTCTCTCTCTCACACACACACACTCTCTCTCTCTCACACACACACACACTCTCTCTCTCTCTCTCTCTCTCTCACACACACACACTCTCTCTCTCTCACACACACACACACTCTCTCTCTCTCTCTCTCTCTCTCACACACACACACTCTCTCTCTCTCACACACACACACACTCTCTCTCTCTCTCTCTCTCTCTCACACACACACACTCTCTCTCTCTCACACACACACACACTCTCTCTCTCTCTCTCTCTCTCTCACACACACACACTCTCTCTCTCTCACACACACACACACTCTCTCTCTCTCTCTCTCTCTCTCACACACACACACTCTCTCTCTCTCACACACACACACACTCACACTCTCTCACACTCTCTTACACTCACACACGCACACACACACACACACACACTCTCTCTCACATTCGCTCTCTCACACTCACACACACACAGAGCTCGTCTCATTGTTTCAGGTTAATGATGTGTTGTGTGTAGAGGAGCTCATTCTCTCCTGCAGTAGACCGTTTTGACCTCAGGATTGAATGTTGTCCGTTCACTTTTAAATGAATTAAATTCACTTGAAATGGATGTTTTGCTGAACATGCCACATGATGATTATGTTCCTCATATTTAATAAGCTCTAAGGCTGGAGAGACACTACATGACTTCTAACATCTGAACAAACTCTAGACATCACAGCGACAGGCTCAAAATATAATATGAGAGTCTGAAGCTGAAAACTCTCAGTGTGTGTCCATCAGACACTATGTGATTACTATGGTCTGATTTTCAGCAGCTAGCGTCGACCGGTCCGGATGTTCTGTGTGTCTGTGGAGTCTCGTCTTGTCCTCTCTCTGACAGAACTCACACTGACAGCACATGATCACGTCTCCATGTTACCTGCTGCTGATGTGTGGTGTGTTTGTGCT